GGGTAGATAATTAAAATTGTTTTTATTTGGCACAATACTTATTGAAAATATTTATCTCATCTCATTTCACCAGAATTTCATTATAGTGGGAAGGATGATTTTTCACATAGGAAATTTTCATTACATAAACACAGTTCTTAGATTAGTATTTAATATTTAAAAGTTGCATTTATGTTTTGTTAATAATTAAGTAATTTAGATTGGTTAATATCTCAACATTCAAAATTAGTGACAGTGATTTTGTTTGATTTTTTGTAAATTTCATGTTAAAATTTATCATTGCTAACTTACACCTTCCCATTGGGATCGATATTTGGGGCTTAAATTGAAAGTCCATTATTACTTGATAACGATACGTATACTTTCGTAGAATCCCATTACTAATTGTCTATAATTATATATATTTTACAGAACTTACTTTTCATATAAGGATCAAGTTTTTTGCGCTGTAGTGGTGTCAACTTCATAAATCATCACATATAAAACTTTGGGATTAATTAGGTTAATTATAAAGGCCACCTCCTTAATGCAAATTTGACTTATATGTGGACTTAGGTCTTGACCACCTTGAATAAAGCTAGATTTTGTCGTAATGGGCTCAATTATCCAATAAGTGATCCAAATTGACTTGGGCCCAATAAAATTTTGGTGACCCTTGGTGATCTCAACTTCTTAAGGCCAAATGATTATGTTTGGCTTTCATTTCAAATTTTTAGGGTTAAATGGTGTTACAAAAGCCTTAGGTGAGATCAAAGATTGATTTTCGTGAATCAATCCTTCCTTTTGAATCTTTGGTGTCATGGGATTTCCAGGGTCCATTGGGGAATTCTTGGGAGTTTAAATTTCATGGGTAACCAGAGGCATCTTTTTACTTAAAAGGAGTTAGCTTGGGCCTCCACTGGGCTAAATCCTATACCATTAACCTCATGAAGCACTACATGAGCATAGCCTTGATTTTGAGTTCCATGCGGTTGAGTTTTCTCCTCTGGTCATCTAAGAAGGTTACTAGGACAACCTTAAGGTTAAGTGCTAGGTTTCCAAGGGGAGTGAAGAAATCCCCACAACAGTGAGGTCAACAATTTTCAGCCCATTAAATTATTCCTTCATATTACTTGCTCTATCATAACCATGATCACAAATCTTGAAATACTTAAAACATTGACTGATAATAGTTGCTCGATTTTTATTTAAGATATACAACTGGTGTATCAAAAACATGACCAATGCAAAAAAGAAATTACTCTAACAAATTTACATTTTTTATTCAAATAACAAAACTAAACAAACATTTCTTCTTTTGCAAATATATCACATAATTAATCAATAAACTTTGATAAAGTAATTATCTTCATGTTCTTCAGAAATTAAATGTGTTATTACAAAGTATATATACAAATCAATTAATGCCTTTTAAAAATTAGGGGCTATTAATTTTAAATTTTATTTTATATTGTTTAGCACTACATTATATACTTGCATTTTATTTAGCCAAAAGTTATAGAAGTGAAAATTTTTATTAATTTATATATTTATCAAACTCATCATGCCCTTGAAAAACCAGTCATTATCTTGGAATAAATCTCATATAATAAATTAAAATAGTTAGATAAGTATATTATTCAATTATAATACAACCATATTTTTTTTTATAATAAAATTAATATGCTGACTTTATTTTATTTAAGCTCTCACAATTTTATTGTGCATTATTATAAATATTGTTAGGGTTGCTAACACAAAGTTCAACTTGATTTTTTTTTCTAATTTGAAAAATTTTTCATATAAAATACTTTATCATTCTCTTTTATAGATCCTATATTTTAAAAATATAGTATCATAAATAATATTCTTTTTCACGAGACATGTTACACTCTATCCAATTAAGAAAATGTTCAAATCAATTAGGATTTAAGCGTCTTTCTTTGCTTTTGTGCTTGTCTTTAGGAAAAAACACAACTATGTGGTCGATATTTATCTCATGATAAGTATATTTGTCAAACATGATCTTTTGAGGGGAGGGGGTGTTCCCCCTTAGCACCCCACTTAGTCCACCCATGGATGAAACCAAGTTAAATAATGATCAAATACTCTAGATTGTTTAAGGAAACTTTTGTGTTGTTAGATTCTAGCTTGCCCCAATTCAGTCTAAGTGATTTAATAACTTAACATATCTGATTTTAATTGAACTTTGACTAATTAGCGACCGAGTAGTTTTAATTAACCTTATGTTACATAGTGATTTTATTAATTTTAATAATTTTTTGGTGTCTCTGATATGACATTCAATATTAGGTTGAAATGTCTATTATATAATATCTTAATACCTTAAGATGGGATATCACACCTTAGGAGGGATTGTTTCTTTATACAATACTTTAAACAAAGAAGTTACAAAGCCATAAGTCGATGTACAATTCTTTGATATTGGACAATTAACCCCTTATACACAAGTCTTTGTAAAGTGGAACAAGCTCTTACAACAGTGTAGTAGTACCTTATATTATGTAGCAATCTATATTCTTTACAATATGATATTGTTTAAACATATGTTTTAAAACTTTATGTTGAAATTATCTTCCCTAGGGGGCGTTACACTCGCCTTTCTTCGGTTCTTTATAAACCTTTATAATGATACCTTAAGTTATAAAATGTGTTGATAAATTCATCAAGCCATGAATAATTTAAAATAAAATAATTTATTCAATGGGCTTGATCACTCTCACCTCATTCATGAATATGTATGTTAGGCCTTGAACTCAAAATGTCGTGATTGGAAACAAAGCACCCAACCACAGGTTCAATTGTATGCACAAGTACACACTAGTTATTTTGGTAACATTGGCATATGATTAAAGTGTAGTTAGAGCAGTGACTCTTTATTTTGCTTAAGTGATGTATTCAAAATATATTAACAAGATATAAATAAGACTTTGCCATAACTATGTTAATTATGTGAGGATATATTTCATTAGACGCTTGGCATTGTATTGCTTTAGTAAGCATCGCTTGTTTGTTTTCCACAATATTATGCTAAGCTAGTAAGAGTTCTGAGAAAATTTGAGTGTATACATCGATATTTTGTTATATTATTGTTTTTCATGTGCATGGTTTAGTTTATGAAAGTTTCGTAGTCACAAAAGATAATTTAGATGCAAATGCTTTGTAATCACAAAAGATAATTTAGATGTTGAATGCCCAAATGTCTACTGGATAAATTCCAATATTAAGGACACTCTTTCATCCCACTTATATATAAAATATAAGACTAAGTTGTATATATTGAAAACCACAAAAGCATTCCTATTTTTTCACAGCATATTGCATATCTCAACTATACTTTTACATTACACTCTTAGTATTTAGATATTATGCTAAGTTTAGTCTGTGGCTTTAAAAAATGTATATTTATTTTCTATACTTATTATATTGTATTATGATGCACCTAAACTTAATTTTTTCAGGATCTAAGGATTCTAAATCTTTTACCTTAACTTTTAAATAGGATAAAATTAATATTAGAATTTTTTTTCATTAAAATTTAATATATAGCTTCTATATAAACCATTTTTTCAAATAACCAACCATAGCCTAATAATGGATCATAACCCTTATATGCACATACACTAACCTTGGAGGTCTTAATTGCATAATAATGTTGTCCTTCATATTAAGGCTTAGATATAAAGTTTGAAGTTTTATTTTTATTATTCCCTCATTGTTGAGCTACCCTTTCCTTAGTGGCAAGGTTATAAGTCAAACTTTTTTATAATAAAAAGTTATCCCTATCTTACATTTCCATAAAAACTTCAAATGTGCCTTGTTATATTTCCTATCACAACAAGATTGCAAAAATACATGTAAGTCTTTGGTAATATTTTATTAAATTTAAGCTATAAGTCTCATCCCATTCATTCATATTAGAATTAAGTTGTGGGACATGACCTAGCAGTATGTCAATCTCATAATTCCTCACCCCTAATATCATTTTAAAATATTTTTAGTACCTTATAAATAAAACATTAAATTTTATGTTTTTTTGAATATATTCTATGTTAATAAATTTTTAAATGAGACGTCTCACAAGCTAACGAGTTGAGTTATGATTAGCTTGAAATTGGCTTGTTAGCTCATCAAGCCGAGTTCACGAGCCACTTATCGAGCCGAGCTCGAGCCGGCTCATGAGCGGCTCAACTCACTTACACTCTTAGGAGTGAGTATGCTTGTTTTAGAATTGAATTAAATTAATTTAAACACTAACATTTTAACTGAATTAATATTATATGTAATCAAATTTGACTAAATTAATAATCCTACTTTTAATTTGTTTTATAATTTACTAAATAATTAGAATTGATAAAAAAATTATTAATATTAAATAAATCAATTTGGGTATAGTTAAATTATTCAAAAACTCAAATGAGCCTTAAATGTTAATATTATCAATTAGAATTAGCTCATTTATATTATTTTGTATTTAATTTAGCTAAAATAAATTGTTCTTTTATTAACTCAATTAATTACCACTTAATGATTGATAGTTATGTTATCTCATGCTATAAAAAAATTATTATTCAATTAATTTAGCAAATTATTAATTAATAATTAATTAGATATTATTTTATGCTAATTATAAATTATAAAATATAAATTAATGACTAATTTTAAAAAAAAAACTATAATTAAATTAATAGCTACAAAATAATGCTTTATATATACAAAAAAAAAAAAGAATTTAATTAGCCTTAATAATAACACCAACAATAATCAATATTAAAATTTTATCAGATTTTCATGCATATAATCTTGATGTATTAATGTTGTTAAAAACTAAACTTTCATATTTATATTCTTAATATTTATCATCATAAAATTATATATTCGGAGATATATTTTATTTAAAAAATAATGAAATATTTTTGATAAGACATTAAAAAAATAAAACTATAATAAATATATATATTATGAACTTAAAAGTTTCTAAATATTTATTTGATGTTTGTGCGCAGGCATTGCAGAGGCCCTTATCCTTCCTAACCGACGGGGAGGACGGACTTCCAGTGGAAAATGGAGGGAACGCTCTCATTTTCCTTCGTCTCTGCAATCTATTGTCCAACTCCGAATAACCAAACACGCTGTAGTGGGTTTTTCAGTTCTCGTACATATGATTCTATGGCGGGGGGATCCTCGTCCACCGACAGAGCGCCTAAGCTTCAATCTGTAATTTCTTCAAAAACCGCAGGTGCAGACCTAAACCCTCGCTTCTTTGACGTACAATCGTTACAGTTACAGCTTTGTTCATGGTTTGCAGAAAGGAACTCTGTTTCCGGATCTCCAAGTTCAAGGAAGAGCATGCATAATGTGAACACCGAGGTTTCGCCTCACAGAGCAGGTAAAACGTGCATGTTCTTCTGATTCAATCACATATTTGCTTTCGGAATGGTTATCATGAGTTATTTTTTGGTTTGATATTTTGGATGGGTTGCAGTATCTGCTGTGAGATTGTTGAGAATCGAACAGGGCGGAGCATTTGCTGACCTGCTGAGTGATAAAGGTCGGAAAGCTCTGAAGAATGAGATGGATTATGTTGAGAGGACACTTGGTTTTCGCACCCGGGATTTGGAGGATAGAGATATTAGATTGGTATTTGATTATTATTTGATTATTATTATTGGATAGAGATATTAGATTGGTATTTGATTATTATTATTATTACTATTATTATTTGCTTCTAGCCCCTTTTTTTCCTAGCCCTCAACCACACTGAAAAAATCGGGGTCAGAAATGTGACTATCCCAAACAAAAGGCCAATGCAAGGCATGCTGGGAACAAAATGCGTTACCTTGTTACATTCTCCATGTGTAAAAAAGAACAAAGTCTGTGAGAAAAGCAATGTCCCTTCCCTTGTCAAGTTGTCGCTGCTATACCTTTGCCTTCATGCCGTCACGAAAGAAGTTAATAACATTCTTGCTGCTCCATTCGATAATAATTCCTCTAGTGCAACAATTTAGAGTGAAGTAATATTAATTTCACATTACGTGAGATAGTTGACATTGTAGTCTGAAGATGACAAATGCAATTTAATTAGAATTATTTTGCTGATTGTCTTGAGTATTTAAAAAAAATATTATTTATTTAAAGCAAATGAATGACGAGTTAAGTTTGTACTGATTTACTGGTGAATGGTAAATCACAATTTGTTATAAGTTGTTTGTTGATTTATGAAGAGTCCATGTGTTAATAAGATGTACACTAACTGTTTGGGTTAAAATTGTGAAGTTTATGATGTCATTTCATTACTATTGAACATGTGGTTGGTTGTATATATAAATCATGTCTGGGAAAATGTTTGGTTTTAGTTGATTATGTGATTTGGTTGGATGTTGTTATAAATTAATATTGATTCTAAACACGAACTCCTTAACCATTATGATTTTATATTTACACAAAATGAGTGAATAAGAATGAAATAATCAGTTTTCAAAAGCATGTTCTATATTTTTGAGAAAAAAGGACTCATGTAACTGACCCCACTTAGTGGGACAAAGGCTTGCTGTTGTTGTTTTATATCTTTGAGCAACCAAATGACTAACTGTAAATTGCGTTTTTGTTCAAAATATGCTGCTCATTTTACAGTTGTAGGTAGTGTTATTTATCTTTTTCACATTGTAAAGTTTGTCAGTATCACAGTTTTCAACTATCTTTATTGTGCTTGTGGTTTCATATAATGCTACTGTGCCTCCTCTTTCATTCCAAAGTAACTTACCATTTATTCTATAAAATCAGCATGTTTTGTCCTCATAGGTATCATATATTGTTGGAGGTGCTGTTAGGTGGAGACGATATCTGGATCATCTCATCTTGTCTCTTTGTAAGCTCTTTGTAAGGAGGAAAGGAGGAGAAGACATTTAGAAACATGGAACCACTCTTGTTACAGGTGAAGCTCAACATCTGATTTAGCCTGAAAATGGGGAAACTCTAAATTACAAACCATTTCTCTACATTTACATTGTAATTGGCCATATCATCACTTTTTTATTGAGCAAGCAACTCATTCTTCTAATTATAGATTCTTCGCATTGGATTTTTTGAGATCATCAAGTTAGAAATGCCCCCATATGCCGTTGTTGATGAGGTAATTTTTTATGATAAAAATATCTGTTATAGCATTTGTTCCAAAAGATTTATTTTTTTAATCTTGTTCACTGTTAGGCTTGATGTGGAGTAATTACTATAAATTCTCGCTATTGTAGAAACTGTATAATGTCAGGCTTTAGACAGAATATTCTTTGAAATTGGCATTTTCCCTGGTTTTGATGATATTTCTTTTGTTAAACTTCTTTTTAAATTTAGCAGGAAACCAAGTATTAAATGCCATCTTTTTTTTTTCTAGGAATGCTGTGTATTTGGTTTTGAAGAACTTGCAAGCTTGCCTTATATTGCAATTTATGAATTCAAACTTTTATGACGTTGATTTACAAGTGAAAATTATACAGAATAGGACAAGGAAGCAGATTTTTTCATGTTGATGTTCTTTGTTTTATCGTCATTGCTGCTTGGCTGCAGTTGCCCTGACTATATTATTCTGATTTGGAGCTTATGATTTACTAAATGTATGACATCAAATGTGATTTTACTGATATTCCACAAGAGGAAGTTGTTTCTCTACGCAACATAATTTTTGAAAGTGCAGAACGTTAGGCTTGCTAAGGTTTCTCTCAGACCTGGTGCAGGGAACATGGTAAATGGAATAATGCGGAAGCTTGTTAGGCTTAAGGTCTGGTTTTCTGAAATATGCTTTGCTTGATCATTTTTCACTTTAAGGGTTTTAATATTCTCTTTCCATTTTGCGATACAGGAAAGGAAATTTCTACCTCTACCTAAAGTAGAAGGTGACGAAAGAGCTCAAGCACGTGCTCTTGCTACCATTCACTCTCATCCCGTTGTAAGTTTACAAGTCCGGATGTTGATGCTTTGACATGATTTTTGGCTAGAACTGTGCAATTTTTGTGCATTATCTGTGAAACAGTGGATGGTGAGGAGGTGGATGAAATCTCTCGGGCAGGAGGAGGCTGTGAAGTTAATGAATTGGAACAACACAGACCCAAGCTTCTGTCTAAGGTTTATACTGGTTATTTGCTTCTAATTGTTTTAATTTAGTTGAAAATTTCATTGTTAATTGGGGGAAACTACTTTTGATGCTAGGGTGAACCTTCAGAAAGGCAACACACGAGCTGACCTTGTGATGAGGCTGACAGATATGAAGGTAAGTGTTATTTCATATTAGAAAATTCAAAAGGAATAGTAAATAGTCTTTATCATGTTCATGCTATACACTTCTGTTTTGGCATCAGAATTAAGCATTGTGACAAACCACTTGAACTTGATTTCTTTTGGGTGTATTGGGTATGCAATCATTGTGAAACCCTCTTAAGTAGAATAAAGTTGAACTCGTAAATATTGGGATTTTCTTTAGTATAGCGGTTGGAATTTCATCATCTTTTGGGTGTATTGGGTATGACATCATTGTAAAACCCCAATAAGTAGAATAAAGCTGAACTCGTAAATATTGAGATTTTCTTTTGTGCAACGGTTGAAATTTCATCATCTTTTGGGTGTATTGGGTATGACATCATCGGAATTTACACCAACGGGGCAAAACCATGAGGCCATTAAGCCAAAGCGGATAATATCTCGATGGATGAGAGTTTTGGTGGTTACAAATTATATTAGAGCATTACACCAGCTTGAAGATGAGAACTAAGTGCTATATAGAACAAAGTGATATGTGGTAGAAGCTACTTCTTAAATCTTAGATTGGACAAAGTTCAACATGGTGGGAGCTTCTTCTGGAATATGTAGGAGCCACATCCAGAATCCTATATGTCTGGTGGATGGAGATTCTGAATCTTCCTTTTGTAGAATAAAACTGAACTCTTAAATATCAATGTATCTTTTGGTGTGATGGTTGGAATGTCGTGAGAAACTCCGAAGTTAAGCATACTTTTATGGGAGCATTCCTAGGATGGGCGATATCTTGGGAAATTACATTAACGGGGCAAAAGCATGAGACCATTAAGTTAAAGTGGACAATATCTCGATGGATGAGAGTTTTGGCTGTTATAATCATACTTTTAGAAGCGCCAAAGTTCCACAAATAGTCAACCTAATAAAGCCTTTATTCAGGGCTGGGTTTAGGGCTAATCCATTCCTCTTTATTTTGTGAAGTTAAACAATGTAGTCGAACGAGCATTCAATGTGAAACTGAAAATGTTGGTCAGGCTGATTTGACTAGGATTATCTTAAATGCACTGCTAACTCTATAGAACTTCACAATGCCGTCTAAAGAGGCTTGCTACCAATAAACTTTTGTAGAAAGGTTTTACACTAGGTTAGACTTGCACAAATGGTTTAAATTTGAGTTGCCTGGTGTAGGCTTTGTTTTTTGAAGTGTATCCACATGCTATGTTGTCCTCGGCTTGACTGTTTCATAACTTCATTATACCTATAGTAGGTTGCATGGAAGTTCTACTTTGACTGATTATATCTCCGCCTTTTATATGCTATTATGTAGATTCAGCCTTTTTCCTTAATATTAGAACATCAAGCACTTTAACGATAACTTTACTAATGCACTTGGCTCATAGCTTCCTTCGATTATATCAACCTGCACCTATTCAAACTATTGATGCAACTTGCCAGCTCATTAGAAGCTTTAAATTCATTTTTAGCTAAATGTTATGCGTGGAGAGTTTTGTTTTTCTGTTAAATTCTTCTCTATTGTAGAAGTAAAATCGTGATTCTATTGGGGTTGAACACACCCTCTAATTTATTGTGCATTTTACTAAGAAAATTTTTAAGTGTGTTGGTTTGATTGCATTGTATATGATTAAGATTATAAATTTACTTGTAAATGCAGGTTCCTCATAAGGTTTCTATTTATTTGGATGATTTTATTCGTTTACCAACTGGCATGCAGGTTTGTAAAGCAAGCAATCTTGTTCCTAACATCAGGTATTTAATTTATTCAATATCTGGTGTATAAATTCAGAATGGCCATAGGAATTAAATATTTGCATTTACTGCAATATTCACGTTTATAAAACCAAATAGTCATCTTCGTATGCTCTTTTTTCTTTAGTGATGAATTGTACAAAGGCTATTATTATTTCAGTTCATATTTCAAAATGTTGATATTTTGAGCATTTTTTTGTTCATAGATAAGTTTGTAAGAAGTGCCAAAGTACTGTCAACATTTTTCAGCATTGGTGGTTTCGTGTTCTCTGATTTACAGATTTATGCTTCCTTTAAATAGTGTTTTTCATAAAAGTGCTTTATTTTCATGCAATACATTTTATCATGAAGACCATGAAAACTTTAATCTTAGCATATTTCGTGTGAAGGTTTTCAAGGCTACCCTGATGATACTAAGCTTCAAGCCTATAGCCATTGGAAGGAGTACAAAGCTTGTGTATTGATACGTGTTCCATCTTATGAATCATTCAAAGTTTTGCAGTGTTTCGAGTGGTGCATGAATCTTGATAAACATGTATAGGGTGGAATCTGTCAGAACTGGCGTTTGATGGAGTGAAGTCTGTTGTACGCCAATTATTATATATCCATTTCAACCTTGTTATGGTTGCAACCCATCATGGCCTGTTTTTCAATACGAATTTAATACGAGGCATTTTAGCCTAACTCAAGGTGCGTTGAGGTAAGAGTGTTTATATTGAAGTGCGATACCCTTCTTGGTCTAGGTTTAAGTTTCATAATTTGTTATGATAAAAAGATCAATAGGTTTAAATACTGTTATTAAAGACGTGCTTTAGAAGTCAAGTTATGTGCTAGCCTTACACGTCACTTGTTTGTAAAGCATAAACTTACGGTGCATTTGTCATGTTCCTTATTTCTATAGTACTATGTGCTTGGCGTCAAATGTCATGATCCGACCCGGAGCTTGCAATTAACCAAGTTGGGTAGAGACAATCGGACGGTGTGAATTAAATTTTTTATATTCGTCTATAATTTAACAAATCAAAAAGTCACAACAAATTAAATTAAATCAGTATAATGAAAATTACCTTGCCTTTATTTTCTATAAACATTTTCTTGTCTATCGCTCATCTTTTAACAAGTTAATTAAATCTGAAAGAGCAGTGAAAGCAAGTATGAGCTAAACGAGTCAGTGAATACTTATACTTCTAAACTATAACAATACAAAGAAAAGAAAGAACAATATATATGTCAGTTAAGCTTATTTATAAATCAATAGACTATTCAAATGGGTCTATATCATTATCATATCAATATCATTTTATATTTATACAACCGTCACAGGAGACACCATCTATAATTATATCAATTAAAACACATCAATATCAATATAATTTTCATTTACGTGCATGAGTACATAGTGTTCCTCCACTAGTACTATGAAGGGGCGTTCCATCATAACCAGTCATGAACATACAAGCAATCGTCGTAAACATATGTATTCATCACATTTAATTTAACGTACTATATAAAATATATATCAAATGCATGAGTAAGCAGCTGTAACATTCATTACGATATGACCAATAAAGAAAATAATATCTTAATTTAAATAAAGCATACACAAATTTCATTAACTACAAATATATTTAAGAATAAACAAATTATTACTATTGTTTAAAAATACAAGCACTCACCTCGATAATGCTTAATTCAATAAGCTTTTGCCCCACATTAACTCTTTTAAAGTGGAAACCTAACATAAACATGATATAAAATTTAATTTATTTGTTATTTTAAGTAACTGTTAACTTACTATTATTATTATTATTATTTAAGTATTAAAATTTATTATTTTTTTATACTTATTTTTCTATTCAATATATTATTATTGTTATTATTATTATTATTATTAAGTTTTAATTATAAATCAATTTAATATATTATGCCTCCTTGAATCTTCGTCTTGCTTCTCTGCACGAAGTCCAGGCCGCGACTTCTTTCCCTTCACGAGAGGGACTCGATCCGAATGTTTTAGCACAATTTCTATTCTTCTTCGTCACGCGGCTAGGGCACAATCAACTCTTATCCTTCATCTTCCTCTTTGACTCGGCTAGGGCACAATCAAAAGCAAGGACGTTCCTCCATCAAAACCTGCATGAGACGTTGGATCTTGTTATGCGCCTCACACCGTCTTCTTCCACTCCGCCGTCTTCTTACTCGAGCTTTCTCATCGTTGGCTAGGTGCTTACGCCGACTTGACTCCTGCGTCGTTCTTAGGTAAATGGGTATGCGAATTCTATAGGCAACATTACTTCTTCAATTTCCCGATCTTGATCCCCCTCCCTCTCATTTGCCCGACCCTCCACTTCTCCTTTAGCTGTTCGTTTCCTCTCCCTTTCCCGATTCATCATTTCTCTTCTATCTTTGTCGTTTCTTCTTCTCTGTTCCTTCATTTTCCCTGTTTCTTCTACTCCCTACAAAATCGTTACAATCTTCCCCACGCACAAAAATTGTCTTTAAAATTTATAAACCAACCTTAAGTCATTTCTCATAGCGTATCGACATTAGGAATGAAAAGTAATCATTATAAAGGTAAAGACTTGGTACAAGGTGACTCAATTATTCTTCAAAAAACATAGATACTGAACACAAAAACATGTTAAGAAAAATACCAAACTAATCAAAAATCGCCACCATCAACAACAATAGGTTCTTCAGGCTCACTATTAGTAAGGGAATATACTCGAGGCCGAACAGGTTGGCTTGGTTGCCTTGGGTTGGAGTTGAAGCTATAGACTTTATCTTTTTCTTCCCACCTGCAGACTTCTGTAGAGGAGCTCCATCAGATTTATGATCTTCAACGCTTTTTTGCTTAAAAGATGGACAATATCTTGCTATATGACTAGGTTAACTACACCAATAGCAAATGTTAGAGCCCCCATCAAACATTCACCTTCATGTTATCTTTGGCATTTGACACAAGAGACTCTAGTACCCTGAACTATTCTTTGACTTCTTCTCTTAGGATCTTTTTGAGCGATCTACATGTTCTTTTGTAGCCTTCTTGTGCATCTCTTTACGTTTTTGAGTAAACTGATAGTCTATCTCTACTCTTCTAGCTTGTTCCGTTAATACCGAATATTCATCGATCCCTAAAGGTATTAACGAGGCGTCTTTTAGAGCATTTTTATCCTGAAAGGAATCTATAACACTTTTTTTTGCAATAACGATTAACTGTGGTGCATACCTAAATAGTGCATAGAATTCTGCTTCGTATTGCATGACCGCTTTTCTCTCCTTGCCAACTTGATTAACTTGTCTTGCATCTATCGTTGAGTGGATAAAAGTACAAACCACTCTAAAAAGATCCACGAACTCCTCCCAACTTACCCTGTTGGGTATGTCTCCCAACCTGTCCTGACGGTGCCCACACCACTTCCTTTCAGACGTCGCCAACGATACTCTTCTATCATCTAGACCAACAATGTTATCTAGTTTCTTCTCTATCCTCATTAATCAATTCTCTGCTTCAACTGGGTCTTCATTTTCCTTGAACATTGGTGGACGTTGATCCGAAATATCTTTAAGTACTTGTCCACAACAACTGTTTCACTAGGTTGAGATCTGGACTCCTGAATCAGGTGAGTCAGCGTCGTCATCATTTGAGCGAGGACATTTGTGATCACATTAATAATAGATTATACTTCTTTGATTTCAAGTGTATCATTATGTCTGGATGGATAATAATTATCTTATTGGCTATTTCATCAAAATTTTATTAATTAATCCTAAAATTTGGCTCTGATACCACTTTTGGCACGAGCAAGTCTGGGCTTGAAATTAAGTAAGACAGATACAATTAAATTTTCTATATTCGTCAACAATTTAACAGATGAAAGAACCACTACAAATTAAATTAAAACGATACAATTAAATGGTGTAGGTGTAATTATAGATAAGAGTTTAAAAGATAATGTTGTAAAAATTAATAGAGTTGGTGATAGAATTATAGCCCTTAAAATTATCATTGATACTAAGATTTTTAATATTATAAGTGTTTATGCTCCTCAAGTAGGTTTAGATACAGAGTCTAAAGATAAATTTTGGAATGACTTAGAAGTCTTAATACAAATGATACCTCTTGAAGAAAGAATTTTTATTGGAGGAGATTTAAATGGACATGTCGGTAGAGTGGTAGAAGATTTCAGAAATATTCATGGTGGCTACGGTTTTGGAGTAACTAATGAAGAAGGTAAAACTATTTTAGATTTTGCTTTAGCGTTTGATTTTGTTATTACTAATACTTTATTCAAGAAAAGGGATGAACATCTTATTACTTATAAGAGTGGATCTAATAAAACACAAATTGATTATCTTCTTATGAGAAGAAGAGATCGTCGTGATTGTAATGATTGTAAAGTCATTCCAAGTGAAAATTTAAATACCCAACATCGTTTATTAGTTTTAGATTTTAAGATTAAGAGTTGTAAAATAAAAAATAC